CAAAAGCATTGTGCCGTTTTGGGGAAGCCCAAAAATAAATTACACGAATCTTTTTTGGTATTTTGGAGTCTAGTTTTACCGGGGGGAAAGGGTGTACCTCGAGTCTCATACACGTGGTGGTAGTATCACATCAATGTTGGAGACGTTCCTGTTGGCCCAGGGAAGCTGCAGTGGTTTTTTTTTGTTTTGTTGGTTGGGTGTTTTGTTTTGTTTTGTTTTGTTTTGTTTTGGTCTCTTTGAGACAGGGTCTCGCTATGCAGTTCAAGCCCAGGCTGGTCTCAAACTCGCAGTGATTCTCCTGCCTCAGCCTACCTAGTGCTAGGATTACAGTTGTGCGCCGCCACATCCCGCGGGAAGCTGCAGTTTAAACAGACACTTAATGTCACTCCAGCTTTAGTATCTGTGCTGCCCACAAAGTGCAGTTGGAATGTTCTGGATACCACTAAGGTGTACCCTAAAAAATGTTTATGGGCTCGGGGTATCACTTAGTGGCAAGCACCTGCCTAGCATGCACAAGGTCCTGGATTCAGTATGCGGCACAACACACATAAATCTCTAAGCTTTATGTAGATTTGCCACAACTTAAAATTCAAACAGGAGTTTGAAAATTAAATAAACTGGGTGTTATGGCGCACACCTGTAATCCCAGCACTGAGGCAGGAGAATTGCCATGAGTTCAGTGTCAACATGAGCTACATAGAGACCCTGTCACAAAAAACCAAAGGAAGTTAATACACAGACTCATAAATGAGTCTGGAGTTTTTGCCTCACCAGCTAGTTGACCTGCTTATGAACTTGAATTCCTCCTGACCGCTCTGAATGTGCCAGTTTCATCGTTTTTGTGCTCTCCTACCAGGCTCTGATCCAGGTCCTACGCCTAAAAATCATCCTTGGCTCTATTCACTTTAGCCCAGCCTGCATTCACACAATCACCAAATTTTCACCTCTTCACACTGTCAGCTGCATCTGTTCCTTCCCATAGCCAGTACCCTAGGTAATCCTTTGTCATCTCATGTCCTCATAACTCACCTTCCTCCACCAGATTCTAAGTCCCACTGAGAAACAGATGGGTTATCTTTTCACAGATTAGGTCAAACAGGGCCGGGAATATAGCTCAGCGGCACAAGTGCCTGCCTAGCAAGTGCAAGGTCCTGAGTTAAATTCCTGGTACCAAAAAAATTAAAGAAAATAAAGAAAAAACACAGATTAGGTCAAACAAAGTTTAAGTATTGGGTGGTTTTTTGTTTTTGTTTTTGTTTTTTTTTCCATTGATTTTAATAACAGGGCATGGTAATACTAAGAGACACCCTAAGGGATCTCCTACACTCCACATACATTTTTTTCCTCCTTTGTGGAGTAGTAGTCTAATTTTTTCCTGATAGTCTGGGTCAATCAAATCAATGGAAAACTACAATAACCTAATATAGACACAATGACAAATGGCCCAGAGCCTTCAAAAATAAAGGTATGCTTCACTCCACCAGGAAAAAAAAACAAGACCTACAGGCCAAAAAAAAACATAATGGGTAGTAAAAAAGGTAGTTTTAAATACCAGCTACAACCTCATGATCAGCTGCAAAAAAATTACAATTGTACTATTTCTCCCCAATATGATTCTAATATAATGTTGATAGACTTAATACTGGTTCTTAAGGATTATTATACTGTATTATAATATTTAAGTTGTAAAATGATAAACATCACCCCCCCAAAAAAAACTTACCTTCTATTCTGGTGAGAAAATTAGAGCATTTACACAGGATAGTTATAACATGTTAGACATAATTATAAACATGTCTTTGTATCTAAAAACTGGTTTTAAAAAAATTGTCTCTGGTTGCTAAGTTGACAAGGGATGGATTGTTATGGTTGATACATTGTGTCAACTTGAGTTTAAAAGCTTAACTAAATAACTCCATAGGGGTATAGAGGACATGCCCTTCCTGCTCTAGGATGTTATTCATTGTGTCAACTTGAGAAGTTAAGAAGGCTAACTATGTGACTCAGCAGGGGGCCGGGGCCCTTACTTTGTATTCATTTTGAGCCTGTGCAAAAGGAGGGCATGGAGATGGTGTGGGTGTAAAGGACAACCCCCCTCAAGGCTGCAAACAGTAAAAGGGAAATAAGGAAGGACAAATTGCTGAGAGCTCCAGTCTCCATCTTCAGCTGGGTGATTCTCTCCTGACTTCTGGTGCAGGCTGTTTGGCTTCTGCCTGGGACTCTTCAGCCTTCTGGTGTGGACTTTTCGGCCTTCGTAAATTCTTCAGAGTTCTGTCCTGTCACAGACCCATCAGCCTCCTGATACGGACTTGCACGGACACTGCAGTGAGCTCCAGACCTTGGACTGGGCTCTTCAATCTCCAGCATGCAAATACCCTCTGCACGCTTCCTCATCCAACTCTGGCTGACCATTATAAACCAAGCTATAATTTTTTTCTTTTTTTTCAAAACTATAATTTCTTATACATTTGTATATCTTTGTTATATCTGTTTCTCTAGTAAACCCTGACTGATACACTAGGTAATATCCTACCAAGCAATAAAAGGACATTTAGAATGTCTTCTCTATCTAGTTAAGCAAAAAAACAACAAAAATGATATACATGTTCTACAATTTAACCTCTTTTAACTCTTGAGGGCTATAAACAGTTTGGTCCCTTGCAATGATACGTGGTAATTCAGAGAAAGTTACAATCCCCAAATAGAAATCTATGAGATGGGCTTAATGCTCTGGCACGGCATTAAAATGTCACAAAATAATCAATTTCCCGGTGTTGGATATTTTCTTTCTACAGAGTTGTCATGTGCAAGCTGTGCCATTAACACAGACACATTTGTGTCTTTCCACAATGCCAGAGTTTATTGGATAGCCATAGATTCACGAGCTACATCAGTTGCTTTGGCTTTAGGTCACAAGTATTTTGGATTTCACTGGAGCCCGATTGTGGCAATCTCAAGTTCCTATTACAGTCCAATCTTCATTATTAATAACTGTAGCATTTATCTTGGTCACTTTCTCCTCCCTGAACAAGATACCTGTCACCCACAATTTAAAAGAAGAAATATTTATTTTGGCTCATGGGTTTTTAGAGGATCCAGTCCATAGTCATGATGGCCAGGAAACAGAGAAAGGAGCGCCAAGGAAGGAGACGCACCCATCCACGTTACGCATCCAGTGGCCCACCTCCCTCAAGGTCCTGCCTCCTAGTAGCAAGTCATCTACACACATCAACAGATTAATCGGCAGATGAGCACAGCACCTCCATGATCAATCACCTCCCCAAAGCCCCACCTCTAAACACATGGGGCTTCTGGAGGACATTCTAGCTCTAAACTGTAAACAGCACTCAAAGCAAACATCACACTTCAAACAATTGTACTAGGTTACAGAAACCTGGAAAGGAGTGAAAAGGCTGAGGCCTTCATGGAGGCAATGCAAGGAGCCAACACAAAGTGCCAGCACAAGTGCAATTACTACAGGTGATGAGTTAGCAAACCAGTCATGGAGATGTAAAGATGAGGGATCCAGAAACCTCAAAGTGGGCAGCACTGACTGCAGGGAGAATTCCAGCGCTGAGTCCAGGAAAAGCGGGCTTTGTTGCCTGGCGGTCCTAGGCAGAGACCCTCACGGGTACTCCAGAGTGGTCTGCGGGGACGCGGCCGCCCAGTGGGCTGTGCTATAGCCTGAGGTGTCTCTTTTTTATGCGTCTAGATAAATTGATAGCATTATCTGTTGGTATGGTGCTTCTGATGAGGTCACAGGTGGTAATTTTTTTATTAGCATGAATAAATCACTTAATCTGTGCCTTACAGTTGGGTTGGGCAGATGGTGCTTGTTTATATCAAGCTGAGTCATTTTACCTTATCATTTTTATCCAAAGTGTAGTAACTCAGAGCAAGGTGCTATTCTACACAATAGTCGTGAAGGTACCGATGGCTGTCTTGGT